AACTCTGTGTTTAGAGCCGACGCCAACACACTATCATATTGTATAATGTGTGTGCGTGTGTTTAATTTTGTATTGATGAAATGTTGAGTGAGAGGTGTCCTGCAGGTCACTGAGGTGCAGATAAGCTGTCAGTCAATCTCAATTTACAATTTAAATCCTCTTATAAGGCCAGTAAAAAAATGTATGGAGGGATGTTTCGGATTCATATCGACTACAAATTTGAAACAGCAGCCAAGGGACACAGAGGTGAGCCAACAGCAGCCTTAGAAAATACTGCACATACAAATCTGAATGTGTACGGATGGATGCATGCAAACTAGTCCTCTCTGTGGTTTGTTCCAGTGTGCAAGATTTAAGGGAGCTACTGGCAGAAATGGAATATAATATTCATAACTACGTTTTCATTAGTGTTAAATCACCAGAGACTAAGAATTGTGGAAGCTTAGAATGAGCTTTATATCTGCATAGGACGCAGGGCCTCTTCCGCAGAGTTCGCTATGTTGCATCGCAATTAGGGTTGGGATCCGGATCCGGTTCTTTTTTGGAACCGGGTCCAAAGTTCCGGTTCCGGAACTGGTTCCATCATATTTGGCGTAACGGTTCTTGCAAAATAAAAGTCAACATAAAATAAAAAAAATAAAAAAACGTCACGTGCATTTCCATTAGAATGCGGCATGGGCCGCATATTTCTGTTTGAACCCGACCAAGCCCGACATTATCTAATCACTAAAGCACTGAGTTTGTGTCACACAGTTGTCATGGTTACAGGCTATTTAACAGGCCGGGCATGCGCCGTGGGTGCTCAGCGGAGAGGGAGACCTCTGTGTTTGAGACAGGAGCGGGCAGCGGGAGGTCTGACGCTTCCAGCGAGGGGAGAGGGAGAAATATAACAAAATAAGATAAAATAGGAGACACCTGCCTCCCTCTTTTATTTAATTTTCAGCGTTTAATCAAGGCGGAGGCGGGCGGCGGGAGGTCCGAGACTTCCAGCGAGGGGAGAACAGAAACAAACAGCCAGTGTGTCTGTGTGTGTTCTGTTCAGGTGTTGTCACGTAAATAACAATCCCTAAGCATGAATGCATATAAGTATTTATTACATTGTTGTGGTTAATTTGAGGTAATAGTGTTACTGTAGAAATCAGAGAATCACTTTTTGTTGTTATATATTCTCAGGGAGATGATACAAGCTCTAAATCTGAAATACACACCACACACAAATGTGTATTTTCATCTAATTGTACTGTGCAACAGTTAGAATAAAGTTTTTGTATTTGTATGATTGCATTTGTGTTTATTATATACTTGTTTAAGTATAGCAAGTATAATGAATATAATGTAGGAATTGGTAAGAGGAATCGTTAAGGAATCGGACCGTTAAGAAGGAATCGGTAAGGAATCGGAATCGTTAAAATCCTAACGAGTCCCAACCCTAATCGCGATGTTTCTGCAGTAGAAGGGACAAACCAAACACTGGCTCTACAGAGGGCCCTCTGCGTTTTTACATCACCTGAAGGTCACTGCAGGCCCTCAAAAGCTAGGGAGCTGTGGAGGGGCATTTGGTTGGTTGCAATCGGCAACCTCACCACCATATGCCTCTGATAAAGACAAGATACTTTGGAGCCCTTCTGCTATTTCCTCATTAACTTGTGTATGCACTTGAATGTCAAAATTTTGCATATGTATTCAGTGATGTTTATCAAATGGTGTGCTTGGCAGCCGATCCAGATCCACTTGCAGATCAAATTGAATACAAAAAAATGTAGTGAAGCCTTGGTGGAAGTATGTGCCGTATATCCTCCAAATTCCTTTACCTAAACTATGATGGAGCTATTTTTCTATCTCCTTCTCATACAGAGGAAAGTATGAGAGGAACTTTCATTTCATTTCAACAACATCACAAACTGCAGTCAAATTTACCACCAAGTTGAATCAACCCCTCTGTCAGAAAGTGTCAATAACTATAAAAGAAAGATTAAAGTTTCACAAAGGCAGCATTGTTGTGCTGTTGGACAGCTGCACTGGATTGCACTGCAGTGTCTATATTTTGCTGTTTTTTTTGGTCATTCGATGTGTATGACAACAACTACTTTAAAGTTTAAAAAGCACAATGAAATAATTCAGCTGAAGATCGTGCACTGCATGTTCAGTTTTTAACAATGTTCCCAAAAATGAAAGAACATTGCGTTGCACCGCCTGCAATGCTGCTTTAAGAAAACACTTCACCCCCCAAATGATCATTTGTTTATCATTTAAGCACCCGGTGTTATGTTGAATTTGTCAAGAAAACTTTGTTTTCACAACATATAGTCCTCATGGGAGGAGGAACTGGGAGAGGAAATAACTGGAGAGCAATGGGACGAGGCGCTCAAATGGGTACACGTTTCCTGTATCTGTGCTCGGCACGGACTTCTGCCATGTAAACTTATTCATAGGCCACACTGGACCAAAGGAAGAGTATCCAAAATCTATCAGGATGTGGATGCCAATTGTGCAAGATGTAATCACGTCCACATGTTTTTGTGCTGCCCATCCCTTGTTAACTTTTCGACAGATATTTTCAACACATTTTCAGAAATCACTGGCACACAGATCGAACCATATTCTCTTACCTCACAGTCTGGGGTCACTCCATTTACATTGCAACTGACTTAAACAAAAACAGAGGTAATTGCCTCTGTCACTCTCCTGGCGAGACGTTTAATTTTGCTCCGGTGGAAGTCTCCTGTGCTCTCTTTGGATTCAAGCAGTTTTAAACTGCATAAAACTGGAAAAAAGTCAGACACTCTCAAAGGATCTATAAACAAATTCTCTGTAACATGGATTCCCTTCTTCTCTGATGTAAAGCGACTCCTTTTCCCTGCAGTTCCAGATGAACACATCTTCGAATATCTATGCATGAGACTTGCCCTGTGTACATTTGGCTGCCAAGCGGGCTAAGGACTGTTTTTGATCTTGTTGATCTGTAAACTCTTGTTTTAAAATTTGGGGATTTTATTTGTGTTTTGTTTGCCTGTTTGCTTGTTTTCGGTTTTGTTTTTTTGGTTTGTTTTTTGTGCTGTCACGCCTGTTTTGTCAGTTTTTCTTCATCTTGCATGTACATATGGTTTATATACATACATGTTGTACTGTTGCTGTTAATATTGTTATGTAATGTAATGTTAATGTTACTGCTGTCTTTTTACAATGATCCTTTAAATGTTGTTTCACTTAAAAATCCAATAAACAAAGTGGGTTTTTCTCACATGCCTCCTCCGTGAATGAAGACTGAGAAATCTCTTGATGAATTAAAGTCATAGGGGGCTGCGTTTAACAACAGCAAAACTATATCAAAACATTTGTTTACAATCTCTCACACAATTCATACAGTACAATCCAAGTGTCATTTTTCTAGTTGTACGCTCAGTACTTCTCAAACAGACACCCCTTTCTGACAGGGTACTAAACTAAAAGTGAAACATATCTGTGCTCTCTTCAAAGCCAGACTTCAACAGGTAATTTTACATCACTGAACATGTGAGCTGCTGATCTACCGCTGCCCCGACTGGTAGTTTGCCTGTGTTTTTGTGTGACTTTGCTGAATCCGAGCTAACCCTTTAAAACACCAATGTCACAAAATAACACAAACAGTCTAACTGGTTGAAGAAGACAAGCAGCTCCCATGTTAAGCAAGGTAAAGTTACTGTTTTTGTCAATGGTGCTTCAAAGAGAGCACAGATAATTTTTGCTTTACGTTCAGTTCCCTAGTGGAAAGGCCTGTCTGTTTGGGAAGTACTGAGTATGTGACCGGACAAATGAGACTTGGATTGTATTGCACGAATTGTGTGAGAGTCTGTAAACAAATGTTTGCTGTTGTTAAAAGTGGATGACTTCAATTCATCAAGACTTTGCTCAGTTTTTGGATTTTTCGTTCGGTGCGGAGGCATACGAGAAAACAATTTCTTTTCACGAAGTCCGTTCCACATAAGCCCCGTCTCCATCAAACCCTTTCAGTGTGGTATCTTTGGAACCAAAAGTAACCCTTCAGACATGGTACCTAGACCCTAGTGTTTCCACTGCAAGCAGTACTCTTAAATGTGGGCAGGGTTGTTGTCACTCACTGCTCCATCCAGCACTCACTACCTATCACTATTTCCTTGTTACCGGTGACACAGATGGAAGTCTGCACCTTGTTTATCGTCTACAGAATGAGGCTGCACACCGACATTTTCAGAACAAAATAAAACAGGCTGCAGTGAGAGTCTCTCTCCATGGGATATTTAAAAATAGTGGGTTTGTACATTTAGTCCTTCTCAGGCAAGCTCAGGGGTTTAGTGTTGCCGGAGTCTTCCGAAAAGATGCTCCCTGATGCTTTTTCTTTATCCAAGTGAGGACTTCGTCGAATTTAATATATATAAACGCTTGAAGATCCACACATTACTAAAAGCGTATGTCGTATAAAAACTAAAGTAATGGTCAAAGTTGTTAAAGTGAAATTTAAGGTGTGCCTCTTCAACTAATACATTGAGTAACATTACAAGCTAACGTTCCACCTTAAATGTTGCCGGCAGTCGGCCCAGTGGATTAAGTTATTTTTTTAAACTACAGCTTCTGTGAGAGGCAGCAAAACATCCTTTCATTTTATAGTTACAGTTTACTAATAAAACTCTGCACAGTATGAACAGTGGTTACATGAGCCTCAAAACCAGCCACAACTCAGCCCTGAGCAGAGTGACTGTCCACTATTGACCAATCAACAGACTGCAGTGTTCACAGCTCCACCTTTTAGTACCAGATCTGTGTGCTAGGTACCCCAACAGAGGGGGGACCAAAAATGGGGACGGTACGGAACGGTTCCATTGGTACCATCCACAACTTTTCACAGTGGAAACGGAAAAAAAGTGTAATGAACTGAACTGTACCGTTTACCGTACTGCTCAGTGGAAATGGGACTGTAAATGTTTATATGGGGGGGAATCTTCCTTTAATGTCCCAGTGTCTGTGTGTGCATGTGCATTTCTAACCCAGTGAGATCTTCTCCCCAGAGTCAGCAGGCAGAAGGAAGACAAGCAGGGCCAAAGTGGAGATCAGGACACATGGGATGAGCAGATTGAGGCCATAGTAGAGGGTCCGTCTCCGCATCACCACGGTGAAGGTGACGTCAGGGTACGGCTCCTCGCAGCACTCATAGAAACGATCGTTCTTACGCCCTGGAACCTCTGAGAGAGACAAAAAAAAACACAGTTTAATCTGGCAGAAATTATGTTAAATGTTATAGAGAAATCCTCATTTTGAGTTTTACTACCGACAAGATCCCACTCTCCGTTGGCGATGTAGCTGGTGATATCCGTCTCCAACATCTTCAGGTCCAGAGACCAGCCCCCATATGTCCAGGAGCCGAACTTCAGGTCGCATCTCTGAACATCAAAAGGGAACCAGCGCACGTCGATGTGGCAGGTGCTCTTGAAGATCCCTGTTGTGGTGAGAGAAGACAAATTAAAGAAGGACTTACTTTAAAGGGAAATTTCGTTTTATTTCAACCTGTCACCTATCGTCCTAAATTTGTTTCAAGTGACTAGTGACATAAAAATAATAGTTAGCATGTTAGCCGTTAGCCTAGATACAGCCAGGGCACATAGTAGCGCCAGACCTGTTAAAATGTAAGTGAACGGTAGTTAGTCCACTAAACAAGCTTTTTTTCCACAAAGACCGCCTCATATCGTTGGGATACATGTCAGAGAACATATAGAAAACGACATGTAAACGTGTTGTCTTACCTTACCGGTGTGCTGCCATGTTTGTTTACCATTTAGCTCTGCTTTCCAAAGTGTGGCTGAAATATATCTCACGAGCTCTAGATAAAGCCCAGCTGGATACTACTCCAGGTGGAGGTGTCTCGTCCTCGGTCACATCCAGACCGAAATATCACGAGAACAAGCAGCGATCTCATACTGTGTCTGAAATCGCGCGATAACAAGCAGGAACAGCTGGAAGGCAGAACTGGACAGTAACCTGAAAAGTTAATTCATTTATTTTATTAAAGATTTATAGAATAATGGCTGACTTTTTGCCAGACTTGGACTTTGTGGAGGAGGAATTTGATTTTGCAGAGTTTAATGGCCGCCCTTATTTATTTGAGCCAGAATATACTGGCGAAGAGCTTTGTGAAATTGAAGAACGGAGGAGGAGAGAGAGAGAGGCACAACAGGTAGAGGACGAGAGAGGAGGAATGGCTGCTGCAAGGCTGCGTAGCTCTGGAGATTGGTGGTGTACCTATGAATGCTGTGCCCCAATGCCCACAGAAGAGGAATGCCTCTGTTGCAAGGAATGGGAGCGGTTGCAGCCTTATTTTCAAGGTCTGGATGTGACCGAGGACGAGACACCTCCACCTGGAGTAGTATCCAGCTGGGCTTTATCTAGAGCTCGTGAGATATATTTCAGCCGCACTTTGGAAAGCAGAGCTATATGGTAAACAAACATGGCAGCACACCTGTAAGGTATGACAACACGTTTACATGTCGTTTTCTATATGTTCTCTGACATTTATCCTAACGATATGAGGTGGTCTTTGTGGAAAAAAAGCTTCTTTAGTGGACTAACTTTGCACTTGAAGGTTGCCCGTTCACTTACGTTTTAGCAGGTCTGACGCTACTATGCGCCCCGTTATCTAGGCTAACGGCTAACATGCTAACTATTATTTTTATGTCACTAGTCACTTGAAACAAATTTAGGACGATAGGAGACATGTTGAAATAAACCGACATTTCCCTTTAACACTTCACCTGTCGACAGCTACTGAAGAGACTGACTGATGGAGTGATATTCAGCGCTCTGGCAGAGAGCGTATTCAACTACTCTGGAATAAAAGAAGCACAGGGAGATTGGAAAAGAAATGATAGCACCCAACAGCTCAAAGGCAGCAAGAGGTTTTACTCCGAAGAGATATGGAGTCCAAGAGCCATCCATCTTAACTAGAGTAAAAAATCCAATATGACAATGAGATGAAAGTGGCCGGTAATCCTTCAGGAGAGGCAGGCACCAAACTAATTTCCATCCATATTTAAGAAAGATATGAGATGTCGGCAGTAAACAAGGTCTCTCTTCTCTCTCGGTGCCATCAGCAGGGAATGAATTGAGATGGGAAGCAGAAAAAAACAGAATGACTGCTATTTACTGCAGTGAAACTCAGTGACAAAGACACGTTACCAGGAAATGATTCGGCGGCCGAGGTCACATCTGCATACAGTTTTATTCATTTAATGCAGTCGTGTTGAGCTCCAGCGGCGACTGGCTATTTTGCGCCAGTACGGCATTCAACGAGGGTTCATTTGGAACAAAGTTGAGAGGCAATTTGCTTGTGACAGAGGCAATCAATCCAGAAGAAATTCAATGATGGAGCCATTTACGCCCGTATTGATTAAGATGCTGAGGCGAGGCAGGCCAGTGCTTTTGCGTGGTAAGAGAAAAAAAGGGGGGAAGAGGAGCGTGCCAGGGAGAGCAGTAAACACCAGCTGTGACAGGAAGGCCTTCTGTTTCAGAGTGTTCCCTGTCCATGCATGTGTGTGTATGGGTGGGTTAATGGTTTTATAGAAAGTGTCTGTTCGGATGCACAGTCTGGCAGTAGTAGGACAGTAGGGGCTTGTTCGGGAAAATTGCATCACTGCTCAAAGTGTCACTGACAGAGTGTGGTGGTGACGGGCCCATGTGTGTGGAGTTTAATTACTGTTAATGGGATAAGACCATTTTAAAACTCAAAGTGATTACAGCAACACTTCTACAATTTGGGGAAATACATTTATTGGCTGTCTTCCCGAGATTTAGATGAACACCAATCTGATATCTGTCCATTAAATATGAAGCTACAGCCAACAGCAATCTTTTGAAAATGTGCACATTCATTACACTGCATAAAATTCAGATAATGAAAAATAGAAATGTGTCAGGAGAGGTCAAGAAGCCACAGGATGGACCTCCACTGCACTTAAAGATTCAGTGTGTAGAATTTAGGGGAATTCAGAGGCAGAAATTAAATATAACAGGCACAATTTCTTCGCTGTATAATCACCTTAAAATAGGAATCTTTGTGTTTTCATTAGAATGAATGAGCTGACCCTTGAACCCCCTATTCTACGTCCAGGTCCCTCAGGTCAGCTGACCCGGGGCTCCTGGCTGTCCCACACTCCAGACTTAAGCTCAGCGGTGACTTTGCTGTGTCTGTCCCCAAACTGTGGAACAGCATCCCCCTCCCAATCAGATCTGCCCTCACCACTGACTCCTTTAAGTCCAGGCTCAAAACCTACTTTTATTCATTAGCGTCTCAGTCCCCCTGATGTGGCTTTCTCTGATGCGTGACTGTGTGTGTTGTGTCTCTAAATGTGTGAGCTGTGCACCTGACAGTTATGATGCCTGTTATGTTTGTGTTTGTAGCATCTTATTCCTTTTGTACAGCAATTTGGTCAGCGTGAGTTGTTTTTAAATGTGCTTTATGAATAAATTTGAGTTGTACTCGTCGTCTTCCGCTTATCCGGGTCCGGGTCCGGGTCCGGGTCGCGGGGGCAGCAGCCTCGGCAAAGAAGCCCAGACAGTCCTCTCCCCAGCCACTTCTGTCAGCTCTTCCACGGGAACCCCGAGGCGTTCCCAGGCCAGCCGGGTGATGTAGTCCCTCCAGCGTGTTCTGGGGCGGCCCCGAGGTCTCCTTCCGGTTGGACACGCCCGAAACACCTCCCAAGGGAGGCGTCCGGAAGGCATCCTTACCAGATGCCCGAACCACCTCAACTGGCTCCTCTCGATGTGGAGGAGCAGCGGCTCTACTCCAAGTCCCTCCCGGATGTCTGAGCTCCTCACCCTATCTCTAAGGCTGCGCCCAGCCACCCTGCGGAGGAAACTCATTTCGGCCGCTTGTACTCACGATCTCATTCTTTCGGTCACTACTCAGAGCTTGTGACCATAGGTGAGGGTTGGAACGTAGATCGACCGGTAAATCGAGAGCTTCGCTTTCTGGCTAAGCTCCCTCTTCACCACAACGGACCGGTTAAGCGCCTGCATCACTGCTGACGCCGCCCCAATCCGCCTGTCAGTCTCCCGCTCCATCCTACCCTCACTTGTGAACAAGATCCCGAGATACTTAAACTCCTCCACCTGAGGAAGGACCTCGCCCCTGACACTTGGCTGCGAACCGTCCCAGCGAGAGCTGGAGGTCACTGTTCGATGGAGCTAGGAGCTGTGCTCCGCTTGGCCCGCCAGTACCCAACAGCTGCTTCCGGAGACCCACAGACCAACCATGCCCTGTAGGCCTCCTTCTTCAGCCTGACGGCTCCCCTCACCTCTGGTGTCCACCAGCGGGTTCGGGGATTACCGCCGCGACTGGCCCCAGCGGCCTCGCGGCCACAGCTCGCAACCGCCGCCTCAACAATGGCAGAGCGGAACAAGGCCCATTCGGGACGCGGTCGAAGATCTCCCGGAGGTCGGAGTTGAAGATCATCTTGACAGGTTCTTCCGCCAGGCGTTCCCAGCAGACCCTCACTGCTCGTTTGGGCCTGCCAGGTCTGCGCGGCGTCTTCCCCCATCATCTGATCCAACTCATCACCAGGTGGTGATCAGTTGACAGCTCTGCTCCTCTCTTCACCTGAGTGTCCAGAACATATGGCCGCAGGTCAAATGATACGACTACAAAGTCGATCATTGACCTGCGACCTAGGCTGTCCTGGTGCCACGTGCACCGATGGACATCCTTATGTTTGAACATGGTGTTAGTTATGGCCAAACTGCGACCTGCACAGAAGTCCAATAACTGAACACCACTCGGGTTCAGATTGGGCAGGCCGTTCCTCCCAATCACGCCCCTCCAGGTCCCGCTGTCATTGCCCACGTGAGCGTTGAAGTCCCCCAGCAGAACAATGGAGTTAAATTTGAGTTGAGTAGAGTATATCTACATAAGGAGTGCACACTCGTCACCGTGTTGCACCGCCATGTTTCTTTTTTTTGTATTATTTTTTGGACGTTTTGCCTTTCATGAAAGGACAGTTTCAAGTGTGAAATAGGGAGAGACAGGACCCCCCAAAATCCACAACATGCAGTGAAGGGCCATGGGCTGGAATCCCATTGCTGCTGCGGCAAGGACATTACCTTTGTACAAGTGGCGCCTGCTTTCCCAACTGATCTACTGGCCACCCCTTGCTGCCATGTTTCTACAGTAGCCTAGAATGGACATTAAACACTGGCCCCAGATTGGGCCATCTGTGTTAGTGTGTTGGCCACCATAGTTAGCAGCCCCTTTATGAGGACCAAACCAGCATCAGATTGATAACACATACTATGGTGTTTCACATCTGTACACCAAGCTAGTTTAGCTTAGCTTAGCATAGAGACTGAGAACAAGGGGAGAAAACAGCTAGCCTTGCTCTTTCCAAAGGTAACTAAAATTCACCTCGCAGCACCTCCAAAGCTCATTAATAACATGTCATATCTTACGTCTTTAATCTGTACAAAAACTAGAGTGTAAAAGATACTAGTCATTGCTCCCAGCCAAGAAACAGTCGGCCATGTAACCGCCAGTGAGACCATAACTTACAATTTGATTTAATCTTTGAGAGAGAAACAAGATATAATGTGTAAATCAGTTCGCTTTAAAGGTGCAAACAGTCAGACATTTCTACCTTTGGGCAGAAATGTGTTGTTTCACCTGCTTTCAGTTTTAAAGCTTAGCTGAACTAAGCTAAGACATGAGAGTGGTGTCAAGCTTTTCATCTAAGCAAACACATGTAGTTCCTAGAATTTGAAATTATTTCATTAGCAGTAAACAACCCAAATTAAAGTGTTATTAGAGCAACTTATTCACATAATCAATCAGTATTTTGGATTTCCGCCAATGCAAATATGCTGATAGCTTCAGGGAGCTTATTCAAAGCTCTCATTCATAAAAACTCAGCAGCAGCTGCTGTTTTCTCATTAACAGAGGAAATCCCCAAAGTAAATACAGCATAATGTTTGTACAGTTTATCAAGTTTATACAGCACAATATTAGCAGTCTGCTGAGGATACATTTTATAGAATCAGGAGAACGACTGTGTCTGTTTGATGAACGCGTTTATGACAGGAAGTAAAATCCATTTTTGTGCAAATTAATTCAATTCAATCATTTATGATGAAATAATAATTCCTCATCATAGTTACTGCTCCCAGAAATCTAGTGGCTTTTTATTTATGACGACAAAAGTCGCCATAGTCGCCCAGTCCCCAGAAGAAAATGTTGGCGGGGCACCCAGTAGCTCGTGTACAAAGGCAATGTCCTTGCTGCAGCAGCTGTGGGTTCGATTCCAGCTCTTTCATGCCTTACCTGTCTTGTCAATAAAAGGCAAAAGCCAAAAATAACCTTAAAAAAGAAAATGTGCGCTTTATATGTTTCTGCAAACCCCAAATGCTTTACATTTGCATGTCACATACGTATAATATCAACATTTCTAAAGTGATGAGTATGAGCTGACTCTGTCATCAGGAGGTAAAGGGGATGCTGGATGGCATGACACCTTGGGGGGACGCCTGAAAAGCTGTACGCCACTGTTTGAGACCAACAAAAACAAAACCGGTTGAGTTTTAGGGAGTCATCACTGCATTTCCAGTGGCTTTTTAGCCACCAATCATGGGTGTTTTTTAGCATCACATCACTGTGCGTCCACTAGGAATGGTGCCACAAAAAATGTATTTTCTTACCATGACATTGATGCATTGTCTGCAGGGATAGTGAGATTGTGCCCCCATAGTTAAAGCCTAAGCATGATCTTTTCCTAACTTCCTAAGTGTTTTTTGTGCATATACCTACCCATCCACTAAGCACAGTACAAATGTAACACAGTGCAGTTTGCAGAACTTACAATGTATTTTTTCTGGTGATTGGGTTCAGTTTAAGTATGTCGGAGTTTTGTTCTTGAGTGAGGGTAAAATGGAGTGTGAGATGGACATGCTCATTGGTGTGGCTCAGCAGTGATGCAGGCGTTGCACTGGACCATTGTATTGAAGAGGGAGCTGACCTGGAAGGCAAAGCTCTCAATTTACCAGTGCATCTGTGTTCCTACCCTCACCTATGGTCCAGGGCTTTGGGTAGTGACAGACAAAGATGAGATTATGGTTACAAGTGGCTGAAATGAGTTTTCTTTGTAGGGTGGCTGGGCTCAGCCTTAGAGAAAGGGTGAGGAGGTCAGACATCCAGAGAGAGTTTGGAGCAGAGCTGCTGCTACTTCGCATTAAAAGGTAATGTAAGGTAAACTTCAATGTCCCCGAGGGGCAATCTGAAATACAGACAGTAGTCATGGGTATAACAAAACAGACAGTATCCAGTATCTCACACTGTCAGGGGTAAATCATGGACATTAGTGGTCACTGCTGGTTAAGAAAAATAGCAGACAACGGACAGTCCGTAATGCTTCGTGCTGCATATAGGGAGGCAAAACCTCCGCCCTAATGGACGCATCAGAAACTCAACATGGAGGGGATGTTAAGAGTCTGAGACAATAGACCGAGCTTTAGAGGTGACCCTCTCTTTATACAGATGCTGTAGGTTATTTAAAGTAACACCAGTCATCTTACAGCACAACTTGACCAAGGGGCCAGTTGAGGTAGTTCGGGCTTCTGATCAGGATGCCTCCAGGGTGCCTCCCGTTACAGGTTCTCTGGCACATCAAACTGGTAGGAGGCCCTGGGGTTGACTCCAAATATGCTGAAGGAATTATTTATCTAAGCTGACCTAGGAACGCCTCAGGAATCCCATGAGGAGCTGGAAAATGTTGCTGGAGAGAGGGACGTCTGGAATACCTTACTGAACCTGCTGCCTCCAAAACCTAGCCTCGGATATATGAATGAAAATGGATGGACGAATGGACGGTCCAAATATTTTTGACATGCCATTGCAATCATAGCTTAGGTTCTCAGTGCAAATAGCTGTCTAATGTGTTTTTTTTTTAAGTCGTAATATGAATGCCTTCAAGATTGACTTCATTTTGTATTTCTTACCACATTTTTAAAAGCTCTAACTTAAATCGGCTGTCCATTTACATCTAAAGGAGAAGGGACATTCCTTCAAGGGCAGAAATGTTCACATCTTGGCCAGAGTAGAAAGACGGTTTGAAAGAGGTGTGAAAGAAGCCATCTACGTCAAACTGGAACGGCCATCGTTAGAGAGGAGGTGGACTACGACACTACTTATCACCCACCTACAATGCAGTCTTGGGATCCCTTTCCAGATGACTCAACTCACCCCAAACGACAAAGACTGCCGGGTGGGTCATCAGCTCACATGTGACCTCAACGACTCTGTAAGGGTTTACACTCACGAAGAGTTTAAAGCCTGTAGCCCTTTTTAAACAGGAATTGTGCAAATTTGCAGGAAAGCCCAATCAGTCTTCTTTCAGCATTGGCAGTATAAAAACAAAATCGGGGAGTGCAGCAAAATGCCACCTACCTACTTTTGTTTATACAGAATGCGCCTTTTTTGGAGCAATGGGGGTTGTGATCAAGTAACAAAACGTGTAGCTCAGCGTGTGACGTAAACAGTGACGTGGGAGGGAAGCCGCAGCTGGTCAGTCCTTCAGCAATTCTCTCGTAAGTCGACCCATCCTTCACCGTCCCCGTCATCTGACGGTTAATGGCCTCTTCATTTGCGAGGGCAAGGAGGGCGCGCAATTCCTTGTCTCCTCAGTTGCTCATCTTTACAGTGTCTGTCAGGTTTGTGTTTCCCTCTTGCTACTAGCAGCTCGCTAATTCCTGCTATCAGCTGTTTCCTGTTTATCCACCACCAGTGGCTCGCATGTGCGTCACCATCAACAGCTCCTCCCACAAGTCTTCAACAGCCCCTCCCGTTGCAGAAGGCCGCCTCGGTCTGTTTAAACTAAAAGGGTTCCGCTAATATGACTACCCTACCAGGCGGAAAATTGGGCACCTCGGATCAACTCGCCAATCCGGCTCTGTGTGTCTAAACGCTCGCAGCTTGCCTGCAAATCGGCCCAACATTTGCAGAAAATCTGGCAGTGTAAAAGGGGCTTGCGACTCCGCAGTCCGTTAGAACTGATAAAGCCTCTTGGATGAGCGACAAAACATTTTCAAGAAAGTCAAGCAGGTCCAGTTGCCTACGATATAGCACTTATGATTACCATGACCTGGATGACTGAGAATCTTCGACAACTATAACTGTGTGATCACAACGCTACTTTACATCACATAATAAATAACCTCCACAAATCTATTTCCTGTGTGCATTCTCTCTTAGTCTTAGAAGTAGAATATAAAGTTTAGCTCTGTGGTTTGTTTGAGAAATGGCACGTCTTTCATTTGATATCAAGGACAGTCTTTACATTGCTGCTTATGTAAGTTAGCAGGTGTTTTCCAAAATAAGTAGAATGTATCAAAAGGTTTAAATATTTTCATGTGTGGAACAATAGCAGCATAATTTACCATCTAACATTTCCAATGAGCAGACTTCTGTTCGTGTGATACTGAGGTGTGAGGGCTGGCTGAGATTACGACTCTTACCTGGAGGTAAGTAGCTACAGGTGCCCGAGTGGTTGACCACAATGTTGGTGTGGAAAGTAGCATCAAATCTTTCATCAGCGCTGTGGACAAACATGCAGCTACATCAGTATTTACCGCAGCGTTATCTGTAATCAAAGTACAGCTTCAGAGGAAAAAACATTTGAATAAATTCACACACTGATATAACCTTTGCAAGAACTGCTATTAATTACGAGGATGCAACATCAAATTTGGATAAGCCACAAAAACAGCGAGCCGAACAGATGTGGTGGGAAAATACAAATATTTCTCTAGCTCATTAATTCAGCAGGTACACAGCACACGAGGAGTCACAACTGATGCAACAATTCCCCAGAGATGGTTATTCAGTGGTTACCCTCATTCTCCCCTGCTACCCACAATTCACTCCCTCTAAATGAACTCCCCAGAGGTTGAGTTATGGTTGAGCTGAAGTTGAAAGAGAGGAACATTTTTTTAACTTGCAGCAGCGTCTAATTCAAAGAGTCTCAAATCAAGGCTTTACTCAGAGGGACAATGACAAATGAAGTACAGTGCGTTTTCCCTCATTAGTGGATGGGAGAGGAGAGTGCCTCTAATGTGATTTGTTCAGATCTTTCTTTTAAAGATTGATTAATGGTGATCTTGATAGCATTTTCCATTAGGGACATGAAATAAAATGCTCTTTCTTCCATCTTTTGTATACAAATTTATTCATTTGTCTAAATGATTTATTGCTCCAAAGCTCTCGTCTAGACTGTACTGAATACATTTAAACTGAAGAGGACCACTAACCCTGAAGTGTAATGTTCTTCTCTGAAAGCAGCTTATCTAACAGGACATAGCCTGTATGTGCAAGATTGTTACATTTATAAAAACATTTTTGATGAACCCTTTAGTGTTGTTTAAAATCTAACAAAGAAATATGCTTCATATCGATCTCCAAAGCTTGTTTTTAATGTAAATGCTTAGTTTGGAAAATAGATATCCACATTTCTTATTCCAAAAGGGAAGGAGGTTTCACATTGTTTATAGTGGGCTGCATCTATCTTTCATTTCCTGCTTGTGGGTCTCTCTGCAGGATATTCTGAATAAGTCCTGTGACCACATGAGGTCTGGTGCTTTGCAGACCTCATGAAATAAGAGCAGAAGCTTGAATATTTCAGCATGTTCTGACATGTAGCCACCTGAATATATATATAAATATTTTGTTCAGGTAGCTTTTATGTTCTGGTGAGCTCAAGGCGATTTTCCACTCTGGTGTGAAATAAAGTTGTATTCTGCTCTGTTTTATTTAGAGTTTATTCTGAAGGGAATAAATCGGTCGCATGCTGTCATATGCCCTCTCTCTGCGAAATTCAGAGTGTATGAATTGTCTGCACAGGTTGCTGTGCCAGCGGCCACCAGCTAATGGTGCCAACTCCAGAATCAGGTGATAAACAACAGCAACCATGCTGACAGGGCTAACGGTGTTAAACAGGAGGTTGGGTGCTGGGTTTTCATAACACCACAGTCACGATATCAGCGGCAACTACTGTTGCGCAGTGCAAAGCAGAGACAGAGGGAATGTGACTAAATCCTCTGCTCAGACCAACAATACTCCACCAAATCTTTACACAGTAAATAGTGGTTTGCTGCTGTATTAATGCTGTGAATGTCGTACACTAGGGATGGACGAGTACACTATTCCCTGTATCTGTGTCTGTATCTGTTCAACCACCTTAAATATCTATATCTGTACTCGAAGTGGGCGGGGTTTATGTCAGAAGTGGGCTGGGCCTAATCAGAAGTTGTATGGATAATCAGAAGCTGCAATATTTATTACCTATGAGAAAAGTATACAGAACAGCCTCAGAATTGAGCTTCAGATCATTTTTTATCGCAAGGGTAATAGATTGTTAGAATTATTAATTTTTTTTATGTACACCTACATATTATAAAAATATGTGCCTTGTATTCATGTGTGCCCAGAAAATAATATATGTATGCCATTTACCAAGCTTTCAAAACAATAAAAACTTGAATTAAAATAAATAAATAATAATAATTATTATTATAAATATAGTTTTCCCCAGCTTTTTTCTTTTTTCACTATTTAAAAAAAAACAAAAAAAAATCTAAATTTTTATTTTATTTTTTGCGTAATACGTGGGACATTTTTTACCAAGTTGTTCACTGCCTTTGTTTCCCATGTTTTTGAAGAAAATGGCACCAATTTGCGCAGGATTCAAAGTTTTAAATGTTAGAAAAAGGTGTCTGAAAGCAGCACAAGAAAAGTGATGTCACTCCAAATATCAAAGGGTTAAACACCGCTACCCAAATTAGGATTTTCCTTAATCATCAGTACAGATTATGACACAATTTACTCATATCGTAAAAAGTACATTATCTGTACCGGACACTTGTTTCATCCGAGTATTCCGCTCAACCCAATCGTTAACAGAACCTTTAAAACTAGTACACATTGCCTGAATACGGTTTTGTCAAATTAAGTCTATTCATAAGACATACATGAATGATAAATAAATAAATACATTTGCTAATAATTGTAATTTATAAGAATAGTTAGATGTTTGCTGCAACTTGTGTGTTGGTTGGAACAAAAAAAAATAATAAGCACATTTACTCCAAAGATTTCGCAATGGGTCTGATGCAACAAAATTTTTATTTTCTCTTGAAGTATCTTATGAAGTTTGACCTATCAGCAAACCTCTTAACCACACACACTCGTCATTAATTCCTCGTTCCAACTTGATGAATGCCAACTGATCATGAGAGGATGCACGTTCATTTGATCATGTGCAAAACACAACATCCCTAAATCGCTATCTGAGGCTTCCTGTTCTGCTCCATTTGTTGGAAATTTTTATTCATGGAAATGTCCCCCAAGCGCACAAAACACATCCAACACATCCAACTTCATTCACAAGGTATTTAAATATTAAAGCAAACCGCTTTTACTACAGGAATCTGTGCATCTGGTCTGGACAGTCTCGGCCAATGTGCTTGTTAATTACATATTTTGAATACAAGATCAGAGCCAAAACCAATTGTTGCTTTATGTTTGAGAAAAATAATTTCAGCTGTAATATATCACAGCTGGTGTCATTGTAACAGTATTTTTTTTTAATACTGGCACACAAAAATCCAAAAAATTACCATCCCTCCCGAGATCCTCCCATTATATTGTGCGGAGGACAATGCATGCATGCTGAGCCTGACACCATGCATATCCAATTACAGTGCAGCACCCCGTGGATCTGTCCTTACAATACCTACCTGTTATACAGCAGAATGTCTGGTTTCCAAATGAGATGGTCAGGAAATCTCACATTGGTCACACCTGGATAGTCTGATGTATTCCACCGGAGGTAATAATCATCCCAGTACTGTGGGATGCAGAAACATAATGTACTTTTCATATGTCACATACATATTTTCAACACATTCTTTAAACCTGTATGAGACTCTGTGTTTGATGTTCGAAAGCCCAACCTGGGATTTACTCTAACACAAGTGCGTGTGTTTTTTTTTAGTGGTAGTGACAGCTGCCATAATGGGTAAAATAAATGTATGTGACACCAGCTGTGGGAAACATTATGCAGTGACATGCTACAAGAATTGAGTTCAATCTCTATGCCAGGTTTCAGTGACATCTGGGGAGGAATACAATTTTTAGATTTTCAAGGAACACTGCAGGGTTCTTCTGCAAGTCAAACAGTGTGAGACACATAACTCTGAATATTATAATTCGAGAGTCATGTCTCATCTTTATCAGTGCAGTCAAGAGGCATTTATAGGACTCAAATCTCAAACCAAATGATAAAGTCACTGTAATGATGTATTTATCAAAAGGCTTTACATTCAGTGTGTCATCAAAAAAGAAGACTCAACAGCCACATCTTAGTTTAAAGAGACCTACTACACTCATTTTCAGGTTCATACTTGTATTTTGGGTTTTATTAGAAACCCAAAATACAAGTATGAACCTGAAAATAAATCCTTAAGTCCTCAAAAAAAGACTTTATTTTCCTCAGTCTGTGCTGGAACACCTGTATTCACCATCTGTATTCACCGTCAAGAGATCACCAAAGCTGATAGAATACACTGTCCCACTGTCAAACTTTTGTGCCAATCCATACAGCAGGTATCAAACTATCCCACCAAATATGTGAAAACGTTGACCTTCTGGTGGCGCTACAGGGAAATGCTATTCGAAATTCCCTCCCCTCGTAGCAACCATCAACGTTTGTATGTTGATGGTTGATGTTGAGATACTTCAGTCTTGACAATGAACTCTTTAAAAACACAGGCTGTGACCGACATGTTTTACTGATTATACTTATTATCTAAAGTGAAACTACACAATTTGTGTAACTCGAAAGTAGTGAAAATGAGTAGAATCTTTTATCGTATTTGACTCTTTAAACCGCTGACAGCAGATGTGCGCACATGACGACTGGCTGATTTCCAGCTCAGCATAGCAAACTGGTACAGCTGGCTGATCTGGCATGTCCCGATTTTTTACATCTTGATGAAATGGCTTTTCTGAGGATTTTTTCTAATCAGATCTATAATTCATTTTTTTAAAGATTTTTTCTGGGTATTTTTAGCCTTTATTTGACAGGACAGACAAGTGTGAAAGGGGGAGAGAGAGAGGGAGTGACACGCAGCAAAGGGCCACAGGCCGGAGCCGAACCTGGGCCGCCGCGGCAACAGCCCTGCACATGGGGCGCCCGCTCCACCACCAAGCCACCGACGTCCCCTATAATTCATTTTTAATTAATTCAAGCCAATGTGGTATTTAAACAATGGCTGTGATCGGTATGAAGAAATATAAAGGTCAGCTGCTAATAAAGGCTGAGTGAAACACACTGTGGGAGGGTGGAATCACTTGTACAGCTCAATAAAGTGAATTTCCATGAGTCACATCACCTTTACCAACTTGCTGCTCTGTCTAACAGAATCATGTTCAGGTATATTTTGATATCTGGGAAATACGCTTCTTTGCTCACTTGTGGTTAGCTTAGCTTAACATGAAGACTGGAAATAGGGGGAAATAGCTCGTCTGGCTCGATTTTCCGGTTAAACCAACACATTCTCACTCCGACCTTGTCACATATTGACGTTCTGGTCATGGACTTACCATGTCCACACACGAGGTGCAAGGTACGATGGTTGTTGACGTTCTTATATGATTGTCTTCTTTCAAGATACACTCCTGTTTTCACAGGAAATTTACCGTTTATATACAGTCTCTTTCAAAATAAATGCACTATGTCGGTACAACACTGCAAATTGACTATTTTTTCCTTCAGCAACAAACACATGGTTGGGTTTAGGCAACAAAAACACGTGGTTAAGTTTAGGAAAAAAACAACAGGGTTTGGCTTTAGAATCTTGCCGGATGTGAATACCGCTCTCTTGGGTGAAAGTCGATGTCTGCTGGACCCATCCACCACCACTCCTGCCCGCCCCAGTTGAACTTTCGCTGCCTTAGGTTTCGTCCTTGTCCCGCTGTGCCGCCGGGTGCCGTTAAACTATAACAGGAACCGGCCGTGTATCATGCCGACGTCAAAGGATGCCTTTTTTTGTTGGTTTCTGACACTGCAAGTCACTGCCCAAGCGCTGTATTTTGATGACTTAAACAATGAAATATAAAGTGTCAGATAATGAGCTCCAAGGCCTTGATACACCAAGCCAATGGTCGGACTGTTGGTAAGTGTCAGTTATCCTAGTTTTTGCCGTGTGTCAAACACCGTTGGCATAAGTCAACCCATGTCCGGCCTTGTCAGCTTTTTTTTTTTGGGCCAATTCAGCATGTTGAATCTGTGTCAGAGACAGCTGAGCCTGTTAGATCCCATCAGTAAGCAACATCACTCTAATTGGCAGTTCAGGTCAATGCACAAGAAGGGAAACAAAAGTGAGGAAAGCTAATAAACAGCTAAAGTCAAGAGGGTGTGAGATCAAAACAAATGTCTTACATATAAGGTAAGATCAGACAGTGATGGTAGTGTTGGCAGCTGAAATCAGGTCAGCTGATTTGGCCCGATTCTGGGGCATCATTCATAACAAGTCTTAACCGATTTGGGCGACCAAATGCGGCCTGGGTAATTTCATACGGCATGCCAAGTTTGAGCCGATTCTGGGCCAGGTCATTTCTGAAATCAGACCAGTGATTGCAGTGTCAGCAGCCAGATTTGGGCCAGCTGATTTGGCCCAATTCTGGGATGTCATTCATCCCGAGTCTCGACCGAGTCAGGGGACCAGATGCGCCCCGGGTAATTTCATCAAGTTTGAGCTGATTCTGGGCCAGGTCATTTCTGATGTTGGACCAGTGATGGCAGTGTCAGCAGCCGGAGTCAGGCCAGTTGATTTGGCACAATTCTGGGGTGTCACTCATACCAAGTCTCAGCCAAGTCGGGCAACCAGACATGGCCCAGCTATTTTCATCCAGTATGCTGAGTTTAGGCCAATTCTGGGCCAGGTCATTTTGCCTACCTGGGTATGTTTTTAGCTAGGGAGCACTTTAGCAGAAACATTTAGTAATTTTTTGTTATTGTTCACTAACGCATGATAAATATTCTTTGTTCTTTCAACAGCAGGTTGTGTTGTTAATGTGCTAACTAGTGTCTTGAATCCATCCTGTGATTCTTCCTGTTTCTCTTCTTAAATGACCAACACAGACTACTGCCATCTGCTGGTGTGGAGAGTTATTTCCTCTCACACAGGCACACAACACACTTCCTAGTTGGCCATTGTCTGTAGTCTTTGTGATGTGTTCAACTTTTTGGCTGAGACAAACTGTAACATGAGGTGACACAACAGTCGGCCTTTGTTGCCACTAGTTCTTTGATGTCAGTTTGGTGTGCCTGGGCCTTTAGAGGTGCCAGTAGGTGGATTTACCTTCAGACAGAACCAGGCTAGCAGTTTCTCCCTGTTTCCAATCTTTGTGCTGAGCTAAGTGGCTTCATATTTACCAGACAAATATGAGAGTGGTATAATCTTCTTGTCTAACTCTCAACAAAAACACATATTTCCCAAATATTGAACTATTCCATTAAGCCACTTTTATGAAACTCACTGACGGGTCCATAGGATTCCATGGTAATACTGACAAAAATACTAAACAATAGTTTGTACTGTCCTCAACAAAGCACTAATATGATGTCTAAAACCAAAACTGAAGCCTCCCAATTATGTCATTATGCTCTAAGTGCTACAATTGTCAGTACATTTGTAATTGTTCACTCTAACACTATCCTGAAGCACTGAAAAATCATGTAATTACTACTCTCTGGCAAAGCATGGCTGAGTGTGTAATCTTGCAGAAATATCTTCAATGTCTCAAAGTGACTTTCAGAGACAAACACATCTTCAGGACATTTAAACTTTCTTTCCTGGAGTCCACACAAGTAGAATGAGGAGACATATGCTCGGATTGGCGCTAACAAATGGTAGATACTGTGGATGCTGTCTGCGCTATCTTGAGTTTGAGAGGCGAAGTCGATTGTGCAGGGTGTGGAGTGGAGAAAGATTGAGTGGGACTGCTGCTGTGATTCCACGGGGTGATTTAAAACAGACCAAACAGCCTTGATACAGCGTGCTGACAGTGCAGCAGCAGGGAACTGGTGTCACACAATGGATAGGCTGCGATAAAACATCTGTGTTCATACACTTCATCTCACTGCATGGAGAAGAAAGAGGCGCACTGCCCCTGCGGAAGGTGAAAGGGAAAAGACTGCTGTGATGAACAAGATTGTATAAGACGACAACCGCACCTTTATTGTGATTAGATGAAGAAACCAAATATCAGGTTTAAGGCTAAAGTTTAGGGTGCAGTTTGACAATAAGGGGAAAATACTTCATATTCTTGCAGAGAGTTAGACAAAAAGATCAATGCCACTCTCATGTTTATACGGCAAATATGAAGCTAAGCTTAGCTAAGCATAAAGACTTAAACCAGGGGGAAGCAGCTAGCCTAGCTCAGTGCAAAGGTAACAAAATCCATCTACCAGCACTGTCTTGTTTGTTTAATCATATTTAAATGAACGTGTGGAGAATTCTCTCTGTCTCCTCTGACTGTGGCAGTCTCACAGCAGGTTCCCGTTCATAACCTGCCTGGATTTGCATGGCGCACTGAATACAGCCAGGTACAAGGAGGAAGCGTCAGAGGGCCGCAATTTGTGTAATTCTATCTTGTCTAATCCTACAAACATATTGACCGACCCATGATTGCCCATGTGTGTCCACTTTCATTGTCTTGTTTGGGAACGAGGAGGCTGATTATTTGTGCCTCACTTTTTGGAGTCTTTTTGTCACTATGAGGACTTCAAGGAGTCACAGCCAAGAAATAGTCTGGCAAATAACCCCCCAAAAAACCACCAGTCTTTCTCCGATTGAGAGAGACTCCAGCATTGTGACCACGCACAGACATGAATGGATTATTGAACATGCCTATTGGTCTCTGGCCCAGGGGCTCAAATTGTCAGGGGTCTCCCTGGCCTCCACCTTCAAAATGTAACTCAAATTAACACATATCGACCAGGAAGGGACTCAAAATGACCACAAAGAGATGCAAAGTGATAAAGAGAAATTGTCTGAGCTGATGACGACCAGTGGAGACCTTAATGGATCTCACACAGTGTTTAATAAAGGATCAATCAAGAAAAATCACAGTTAACACACACAGTGTAATACAGTACATGCTGTCCAGAGAGTCTGAGGGCGTCTTTGTCTAAACCTTGAGCATAACCCTAACCTAAGTGCTCCCAAATAAGGATATTGTGTACAAATCTATGAGACTGTGAAGATTCTACTGGTCATTGACTGTACACACACAAGTATGCTCACCTTGCTTGCTCTAAATCACCTCGCCTGAGTCACTCATGACTCATATCTAGAAAGAAACAGGAGGTCTATTGGGTCTGGGGCACAGGGCAATCTTTCTTTCTCTAACCTTGTTTGCGATAAAAACAGAGCCAGCCAGAGCTCCCTTTTCTGGGGAGTTGTGCTCCTTCGGTCAGAGTTAGGAGACCATAGATAATCGAGGTCTAGCAGTCTGACCTCGAGGCCTCTTTCAGGCCTGCTACTGCTCTGACCATGACTGTAGGCCTAATTGTCTCCCAAGACTATTACTGACCAAGACTGAGGGTTTCAGTGTGACCAAAATTCCTTCACACAAAGGAACTGCTAAGAGACAAAAATAACTACAAAAATGGGAAAAACAACCACAAGGAGACACAAAACCCCAAAAAGATGCATATTGATTTAAAAGAGACACAAAACAATAAATATAAAAGAGGCAAAACCACCACAAAGTCTGTGTGTCTTGCTTCTACGTGGGAGAGGTGGTGGGGTTTTCTGCATATCTGTTCCCAGGGGCTTACTGTCTCACATTCCACCCGAATAGAATAAGTAGATACAGAAAATGGATGAATTAATTATTAAAGATGTTGTGAAATGTAGCATGTGGCTAAGTGTGATGATAAGGTTGTGTATCCCAGCTTTTCTGTGACTTTACACACATGGTACAGGGAAATGTCTTACCAGCTGAAGCCAAATGTTGGTGGTCAAAACCTGGTTTTTCTCATCCTGTAAGAAAACGATGACGTTATCAACATTAATATTCAGGTATTTTGGTGTATTTATTTCTTTATTGTCTTCTCAGGTTCAACTTTAACAAAGCAGGTGTCATGCTACTCAACAAAAAAAATGTAATGTCTGCAGCAGCTTCACTTCTAATGGCTTTGATGATAGAGAAACAACTGACTGTTAACTTGCAATTACACTTTGAATTTATGACTCAAAGACATCCAAACATAGAGGTAAATGATCCAAAATGTATTTGTGCATGAATATAACAAGAAGTCTTCATCAATCAAAAACATAACTGCTGGTTTCGACATAACCTCTAGCAGAAAATTTAATAATTTTACATGAGAATTTTGGCTGTGAAGTGAGAAGACGATCTTTATATTGATTGATGATAACCGAGTATCACTAGGAGTGACACCGCTTTGTGTATGCATGCTTAGTAATGTGTGCAAAGCCAGTATTTACATACCACATCCATGATCTGCATCAGGGTTAAGCCAAATTGAACGGTAAGAGTCTGGGAGTCATTGTAAACAGGCCTCTCCAGTGGGTTGTAGTTGGCCATCAGGTCCGAGTACAGTCTGCGCTGATTTGGCCCCTGAAGAGAAACTACAAAATACAGAGAAACCTGGACAGTAAATATACTTTCATAATCACTTCTGAAAAAATGAGCAAGACTGACACAGTCACATATACTCCCAGCTCCTTTTCAATTTCATTGCCAACCTCCCATTTACACGGCCATCCTACAGCACAAACAGCATTTTTGTCTTTCACTATAAACTGAATTTAATGACTGTCTGAGACTGCTCTCAGCTCAGTGTCTGTCTTACATAACTGATTTTTTTTTTCTAGCCAAAGCAAAAGCAGTTTGTTCGGTACAAAGAGCAAAAGAGCTGAATTTCACTGATAGGAATTCCAAAGACGAGGATGTCACCGCATAGAAATTTTTGTGGTTGTCTTTTTATTCATCACAAATGGTAAATCGACTACATTTATAGCACTTCTCTCATCTTAGCGACCACTCAAAGCACTTAACAACACAAGGACCATTCACCCATTCACACACATTCATACACTGGTGACCAGCTAGAGGGGGCCTCCTGCTCATCAGATACACTTTCCCACGCCCTTACACACTGATGGCACAGCCAACGGGAGCACTCTGGCATTCAGTATCTTGCCCAAGGACACTTTGACATGATGACTGCAAGGGCCAGGAATTAAAGCACCTTCTGATTGGCAGATGACCGCTCTACCTCCTGAGCCACAGTGCCACAGTGTGTATCTAGAGTATTTATAAGACAACACTGAACTTGTTTGATCAATAAAAGTCATCTCTCCAAGGCTGTTCTTAGGCACAGAGGTTGTCTGAGCTAAATGCATGCTTACCACAGCACATCGGGGGTAAATTCACAAAAGGACTGCTCGGCTTCTGCGTCCGCTATACCAACACAAATAAGACAAAAGGAAACCATAAAATTCTCAAAGGACCTGCAGTGAGATGCACCCCAAACTGCACAGCCAAGCAAATGGCATCAGTCCTCCTGTGCTATTTGCTCATATTTGAATCAAGTAATATACATTTGGCACAACATTGGGTCCTTTCTGTGTAAATGAGCCTCAGTGCAAAAACTGTCCAATTCACAAAGATCAGCTCCAACAACCACAGGCAGCAACAGTAAAATTATCAGCAACTTCAGAGAGTTTGAAAAGCAAATATTGTCATCTTCTTTAAACGTCTGAAAATGTGCATTTGAAAAGAATGCATATCTTCAGACGTTTAAAGAAGATGACAATATTTAAATGTCTGAAGATGTGCATTTGAAAAGACAGACTGGGATTTTAAATCCCAAATACAGTCTCTCTCTGTCACATCTTAATTCCTTGCCTGAAGTCTTGAGGAGCGCCTCTGCATGTCGTTGGTCAGGACCCTGAACTCGCAGTTAGAAAACCTCAGTTTTCTTTTTTACTCGCTTCTGCCTATTGCAACATTTGCTTTACCACATGGATAACTGCAATCAGATGAACAAAAAGGGCAAATTGCACTCAGACGCAAAACGCAAAACATGTTTATGTTTGCCCTCTGGGTACCATCAACATCTGTATAAAATTGCAGGGCAGTTTATCCAATAGTCATTGAGATGTTCCAGTCAAGTGACTGACTGATGTTGTCCTTAACAGAGCCATGATTCTACATTGGCTTCAAATGATCGTAAAAATTACAACTTTGTTTGGAACTGGAAATTTACTTAAAGTCTGGGTGAAGCAAAAAATAAATGTGTCCAGATTCTGTCACATCACAGAAAACTGTTATTAACCACCTAACCAAATTTGATGATTGAAAAAAAAAGATCAAAAAATTGCAAAGTATATAAAATGAGGTCCCAAAACTGTGAAAAAAAAGAGCAGTATTGTCTATAGATACAGTCGGCAATGACGGGAACGCCCACAAACGTCACATCCGGTTAGTGCTGAGGGGGAAAACAAACCGGTCTCTACCATTAGCCACAATGCCGAAGAGTTGCTGTGTGCCCTTTGGCACTGCAAATAAACAAAAAAAATCACCAATTAAAGTTTTACATTTTTACCAAATAATAAAATGGAACCATAAAGGAGGACAAAATGGCTTCAAGCTATCAGAAGAGAGGATGAGTTTGGCAGATTATGGGACCCAACAACAAAACATGTATGTCTGCAGTCAGTAATGTTAACCATTTCCAAACAATCGTAGACTATGTCAGGGATATCAGGAATATTAGTTTAATTGTTTAAACGCTAGTGAACTTTGTACTACATTTGTAATTTGTGTAGATTTCCTCGCATCACATACAAAAGTACACATTCAGTACCTAAGTAGAAGTACAGATACTTGTGTACAAAAGTCTGGTAAAAGTAGAAGTACTGATCAAAGTTCTTTACTGAGTACGGTATATGTAAAAACAAAGTGCTGGCTCTGAAATGTACTCCAAGCATAAAATGAAATATAACGTTAACCCTCTGAAGGACATTTCTATTGCCTGTTTCTGTGCAAAGCTAAAAGTTCTTTTCTGATAGCTTGGAGCCATTTTGTCCTTTGTGGTGCTCCTAATGGCAGAGACTGGTTTGTTTTCCCCCCTCGGCTCTAACCGGATGTGATGTTTGTGAGCGTTCCCGTCATTGCCGACTGTATCTATAGACACTAGGGGTGTGTCCAATGAGTGAACCACTGTGCAGCGACAGAGTCTCATTAGCAGCTAACCCAGTAGCACACTAACAGACACAACCCCTGAGCCAAAAACACGTGAGCATCTGCGTAGCGACAGACTCTCGTTAGGAGTTAACCCATTAGTACAGTCACCTACACATCTCCTGAGCCAATAACGAGTGAGCCGCTGTGCAGTAATAGACCTTCGTTAGCAGCTAACTCAGTAGCACAGAAGCAAACACACCCCTGAAACACAGAACGAGTGAGCCACTGCGCAGCGACACACTCTTGTTAGCAGCTAACTCAGTGGCACAGTAATGTACACACCTCTATCTGAGCCAAAACCGAGTGAGCCACTGTGCAGCGACAGACTCTTGTTAGCAGCTAACCCAATAGCACAGTAACAAACACGTTCCCTGAGCAAAGAACAAGTGAGCCACTGCGCAGCTACAGACTCTCGTTAGCAGCTAACCAAGTAGCACAGTAACGAACACTGAGCCAAAAATGAGTGAGCCACTGTGCAGCTACAGACTCTAGTTAGCAGCTAACCAAGTAGCACGGTAACGAACACTGAGCGAAAAATGAGTGAGCCACTGCGCAGCTACAGACTGTAGTTAGCAGCTAACCCAATAGCAGAGCAATGTACACAGCCCCTGAGCCAAAGAACGAGTTAGCAACTGTGCAGCGACCTACTCTTGTTAGCAGCTAACCCAGCACAGTAATGACCACATCCCCTGAGCCAAAAATGAATGAGCCACTGTGCAGCTACAGACTCTTGTTAGCAGCTAACCACGTAGCACGGTAACAAACACTGAGCCAAAAATTAGTTAGCCACTGCGCAGCTACAGACTCTCGTTAGCAGCTAACCTAGTAGCAATGTACATACCCAAGTCAAAAACAACTGCACCACTGCACAACAACAGACTTTCGTTGGCAGCTAACTCAATAACAGAGCAACGTACACAGCCCCTGAGCCAAAGAACGAGTTAGAAACTGTGCAGTGACATACTCTTGTTAGCAGGTAACCTAACAGCAGCAAAGTATCGTATAAGCCCCCAGAGCCAAAGAACGAGTGAGTGAGCATATAGCAACTAACTCTCGTTCAGCAGCTAACAGCAGCTATTGTTAGCACATAGCACGTGGTGAACTCAGTGCTCAACGCAGTGGGTGAATGTAGCGACACTAATGCTACTACTAACATTACTTATGATAGGCAAAAGTAGGGGAGGGGTTATGTTAAGGGTAGCTCCAGTGCTTCCAGACACGATCTCAGGCCTGCCAAAAGATCCTGGACATGAAAATGGTGAAACTCCACAATGCAGCTCTACATAGTTCCCAGTATTTAACATGTTTTCAACAAGTAGTTTCTAGCATGTATAATCTCTTTAGGAAGAAATCTTTAATTTCAAGAATAAGACTGAGCCAAGGCTACATTCACCCCATCCACACATCATCCCATCCCCGCCTGAGGTTCTGGCTCATTATCACACCTCTTCCCATTTATAATCTTGAATAGAATATTGTAACAAAGTGAAGGGTGGTGAAACACATGAAACCTGAACAAGGCAATCATCCAAATACAATACCTGCACTGGATTCATCTCACTGTGCAGTCTCAAGTTGGACCTGACCCTCATTTTAACACACTCTCACATCCCCTCTTGAGTTATGGAGCGTTTTTGGCAGCATGTATTCACTTCACTAATGGCCACAGCCCAATTATCTTAAACCACCTATGAGAAGCACATTATCCCGATGATTTGGCAGAGCTGTTGACTGTAGGCATCTCCCCTTTCCCCTGCTCTCTGATGCATCCGGTTCTTTCATAAAAAAAGACTGAAAGCTTGTCTTTGTCCACGGCTCAATCCCCTATGGATCTGCTCCCCTCCAAACCTCACCATAATCAAATTTCATCATGCAGATCAGCACGGGGAAATCAATGTATTATTATGCTAAGATTTCTCTCTAATACATCCCAGCATGTCACTTGCTGTCAGAATACACAAGGAACATTGCTTATATGTTTCTGAAAGTGAGCTGGGAGCCATAAAACGGAGAAGCAAAGCCTTTTTACGTCTTCATCAATTGAAGAGCTTTAATAATGTCAAAGAGACGGACAAGGGCTTTAAGTAGCCCAGACACATGCTCAGACATCAAGATGTGCATGTATGTGTGCACAGCAGCACAACTTCTCTCCATCTGCCTCCTTAGACTTCACTCCGGGGGAAGCCTCAATTAAGTAGTGCCTGCAAAGTGCAGACTAAAGAGCCTAAGTCAGTCATTACCATTAAATTAACTGCCTCAGTCAAAATATTCAAAATTCAGAGCAGATCGGAGCAAAACTGATGAGACACAGCATGTCTTGAAGGTTTTGTGAACTAATTGCCATTTAAAGAACAGGGGTCCTTAGATTTTTGTAGATTTGCATGAGCTGACCTGTGATGTGTGTCCTTTGCCATGGAGCACAGGCACCAGCAGTGTAAGCAGCAGTTCATACAGAGGGGAAATATGTGTTGCAACATAGCGTGAAGGCCACAACAAGAGCAGTGTTACTCTGGTTTTAATACAGAAACCTTTGTTCGGCTCTCCATTACAATGAGGGTCTTTGAATAATGAACTTAGTGTGACATTTCCGGTGTTTTGCAGTTCTTTCGCTCACCCTCAAATGCACTCACACACACACTTGTGATCTTTTGCCCCAGTGTTAGAAATCAATACAAAAACATATCCATCAACAGAAACTCCCTGCCAGTCTCCACTTTGAAGCTAATTATGAAAGACCTCACACAACATCAATAAAAGCTGCAACAGTCACACACCACAGTGCATACAGCACAGCACTGAGTCCATATGACACAACGTGACACCTGTGATGTAGTGTGTATTGCAATCATTGCATACTGCAAATTGGATGTTGGTTTTCATGCAGTTATTACATTTATGCATACTGTGCATTTGGAAGCAGCTTTAAAGTTAGAGAAAACATTGTCTCTAATTACAATCACACACGTGCACAAAACCAGTGGCTGCACCATTACAATAAAAGGAAATGTATGTCTTGTCATTTTATTTTACACAGTAAGTCCATATGCATGCTTCTTCATGATCAAAAACGTTGGCTTTTATTCAGACTGATTTTGATTTAACTCACAATAGACTACGTGTTAATGGTGCATCAAGTGCTGAGGAAAGAATGAAAAATAAACATTTACCCCCAATAATACACTTACTATTAGTTTCAGTTTACATAAACTAGTATGGTCATTAAATATGTGTGATTAAAATTGCATTAAATAACATTAACGTCACCTAAACTCGGTGTTTGGCACAACAGGTATGTAAATGCACTCAGGAGGTAAATGAATCCATCGTGGAGCAGGTTAATTACGCACATGAAACGCAAAAACCACATAAAAAGGGCGACCCCCAGCCTCTTCCCGGTAAAAATACCCCAGGTTTGGTGAGTTAATTAGCAATTATAGCGCACGGTGACAGCCTACCTTTCAGTGTGAAGGCGCTGACTGCGAGGAAGAGCAGAAAATTCAGTGAGTCCATGTTGAACCGAGAGAAGAGTGAGAGCGCAGAGACTCCTCAGTTCATCTGTGGACCTGACGGGATGCGGAGATGATGGGAGTGTGTGTGTGTGTGTGTGTCTGCGGGGTGTATTAAATAACTCCTCCTCCTAATGAATAGCTGCTGTTTGGCAGGACAGCCATGAGATTTGTTGTTGCATCAAGACTCTGCCCTCAGTCTCACTAATTGACCGTGCACCTGCTGATGGAGGAGAACACCACAAAGGAAAGAAGAACAAAACAAATGGTCAAAAATATCATTATCATTTCCACACTGCTGCTCCAAACGCATGTTGTGTCTATTAGTCACAGCCTAATAGCCCCCATATGTGCTTTTACCCTGCATCATTTCATTACTTCTCAAAATGAGTTGAAGGAGTATGAAAGGTGATGCTCAGGGATGCTGAAAAAAGTTGTACAGGCTCTCACTGAGCTGCTATAAATCAACTTTTGCAAAACAAAGAGACACCTGCTGGTCACTGAGCAGAATTACAACTATTACAACTATTTTAAAATTTAGTTGATGGATTCTTGTTTTTCTAATGTTTGTCAGTGTAACTTTCCAGGAACTGTGCATATATTTTGATGTGTGTAGATACCCTGCTACTTCCTATCCACCCCAAAATATACTGAATGAAAATTTAAATGCAACAGTTTTGTTTTTGCTCCCATTTTCCGCTGGTTTAAGTTCAAGACCTATACTTTTTTGTTGCACTCTATAGATAGATTTCTCTCAAAATATGGTCGCAAAGTTTTAAAAATTCATGTCAGTCAGCACTTCACTTGAAGATAATCAATCCACATGACAGGTGTGGCATATGAAGATGCTGATTCAACCGCATCATTAATACACAGGTGTGTCTTGGGCTCGTCAGAATTAATGGCCACTCTAAAATGTGCAGTTTGATCACACAACACAATGCCACAGCTGCAATGAGTTTTCAGGGAGCGTGCCATTGGCATGCTGACTGCAGGAATGTCCACCAGAGCTTTTGCCTATGAATTGATTCATTTCACTACCATAAGATGTCTCCAGTATCGTTCCAGGTAATTTGGCAGTACATCCAAACAGCCCCACAACCACAGACCACGTGTAGCTACACCAGCTCATGGCCTCCACATCCAGCATCTTCACCTCTTCTCTTCTCAAGATTGTCTGAGTCTTTGTTCCAGGGCATTGAAAAAGTTACTCGCCGAAGAGAGGTACTAACATTGAAGACATGCGTAAGAGAAGTATACTGGATATTTAACACAAACATTATCTCCGAAAGGATTAAATGATGAGAAACCATTTTATGCCATGCTATAAAATATGAAATAATGGTGTTGAACACTCTTGACAAAGGTCCACAACAACCAAAACATTAGGGTTACTAATAAGCTGAGCAAGAGTAGTGTGCGGGATTTTCTGTTCAAAGACTCAAGTGAATTTTCTAACGTGCCTGCATCTGAGACAGTTGGATGTGTGAATATCATTCTTCAAACTAAGATCGTCTGAGACCAGCCACCAGAAAAGACACAATAATTGGTTTGCACAACTGAAAAATTCCACACTAACTGTCAGAAACCATCTAAGGGAAGCTCATCTGCATGCTCATTGTCCTTACTAGGGTCTTGACCTGTCAGCAGTTTGTTATCATAACTAACTTGTGTGGTTGTTAGGCTGGTTGGATGTACTGCCAAAATCTTTGCAAACAACACTGGAGCCATCTTATGTTGTGTGAAATGAACATTAAGTTCACAAGCAACAGCTCTGGTGTACACTCCTGCAGACAGCATGCCAATGGCACACTCCCTCAAAACTCACTGCAGCTGTGGCATTGTGTTGTGGGCTCATACTGCATATTTTAGAGGGGTCTTAAATTGTGACGAGCCCAAGACACACCTGGGTAATAATGCTATTTAATCAGCATCTTGATATGCCACACCTGTCAGGTGGATGCATTAGCTTGAAAAAGGAGTTCACTAACATGGATTTAAACAAATTTGTGAACACAATTTGAGAAAAGACTTGAGTAAAGTCTTATATCTTTAACTTAAACCTGCGAAAAATGGGAGCAAAAACAAAACTGTTGCATTTCATTTTTTGTTTAGTGCATGTTTGTCAAAGTCAAGAAGGCTTTGGATTTAATTTTTGACTTCAATTCTTTAAAAAAAAAAAAAAGAATTCTACAACATGACGCAGGAACAGTTCCCCTTTGGTGTTTAGGTGGAGCATGGGTGGAAAATCATTGCATCATCTACCCCTCTTGTACCTATATCACCATATGGCCAGATTAGAGACTAAGACACAACCAATCCCAGAATAGGAAGAGTATAATAAATGTAAATAACATGTCAAAACAGGAACAATATGTCTGTTTTTTGTTTGTTTTAAAATGTGATATTTACTAAAACTTCTGGTGATATTTCACAGTATTCCAAGGTAATACTGTGAAATATCTGTCATATGACACAATAAAGAATCAAAATAACCTAAAAATATCACAAGGGGAAAAAAACAGATGGGGACACCATATTGTCAGGGCAGGTTTCCCTCAAAAACCTGCCCTGACAGATGGGGACACCATATTGTCAGGGCAGGTTTTTGAGGGAAACATTAAAATAATCAGATTAAGGCTTAGGCAACTAAAAGACTGAAAGCACATCAGTTTGATGTATCTCATGATAAAGAGTTTGTCCTGGTACAGGTGGTGAACTGAGCCTAGATATTTACCCTCCACTGCACGTACGAACTGATATCTGCATAAACACGCTGGACCTGGAGGTAAACACCAACATAAATGTTATTTGCTCTCTAATGTGTTTGCTTACGGAAGCGGCGGCTAATTTAATGGAGCTATACATTCTGCTCCAGACAGGTTGAATAGAGTTGATTAAGAGGTATGTACGTGTGTGCTCTGCATGTCAAATGATATGCCTTATCAGCCGTGACCAAGATGCACTGTGGTAACGAGATATTACAGCACTGAACACATTTTCATGCCTTCATCAGTCATACACTGGTCTAATTAAATGTACACACAAATTAAAATTCTATTAGACTTTGAACAAACTGTGTCCATTATTCCTCTGTGAGCTACATACGTGATCAGTGTTACCAGGGTGGAAGTACATGCCTCACCTCACCTCACTTACGTATCTGAATGTGATTGGAGCTACTGAGTGGTCTTGTCGGACAGATGAAGCTTTACTGTCAATATTTACAGACTCCTCCATATTTCTGTTGTTTTATGGATATAAATGGTTTTGAATTTTCATCTCTAACATCCAGTGGCAGCTCCAAGGGGGGGTTGAAGGGGACATGGCCACCCTGAACAATTTCTGCCCCCTACCCCCAGGTGAAAAAAAAACTTGGAAGCCTACATTAATATCTTTAATAGACTCTTACTCTTTTACTTGTTTCATTTGGCACCCTTTTTCACCACGTTACGGCAGTGATGCTGCAAGGGTAAAAGGAGGGTTGTGTGTTGGCTGTACATGGTAAGTGTAGACGCCAGGTGGCAGCAGCATGTTTGAATCCTGTTGACAGGATTTTAGGATAATAAACCCTCTGATCACAATGTGGAATGCAATGGCAGAGTGGTGCTGTCAGTATTTTCCATAGACTGTATACATAACCGAAGTAGCCACAGTGACAACACCCATTTGTGGACTGTCATTTTGAAGCCTTGAATTGGCATTTTGGCCCGCATTTTGGAGCCATAAGTAATGATATTTGGACAAGAGATTGGAGCCGTGGAAAAGCAAGGGATGGATCTGAAAAAATATGCAAAGAGTTGGGCCTTAGAAAAAATATAAATGTGAGAGTCTTAAAAAAATTCCCCACCTGTACAGATATCATGAATGTTGAAATTAGCTATAGGGACCAACACTGTGTTTTCGCACCAGGCTGTAAACACGTTTATTTCTGTTTAACATTTTAACATGGGAGTCTGTTGGGATTGACTCTGTTTTGGAGCCAGCCTCAAGTGGTCATTCAAGGAACTGCAGTTTTGGTACCTCCACATCAACCTGGTCTTATTCCGAAGTTGCTGAAATCTGGCGCTTGGGCAGTGACTTGTGGCATTAGACACTGACAAAAAAAGCGGTCCTTAATGTCGGAATGATACGTGGCCAGTCACTGTTATAGTTTTAAGGGCGCACAGTGGCGTCAGGAGGAAATGCAGTGGGACAAGAATGAAAGTTAAGGTGGCAAAAGCCCAAGTAGGGCAAGCGGAAGGGGTGACTTTCAGCTGGGAGAGCAGTGTTTGCATCCTGAAAGTTTCTAAAGTCAAACCCTGTTCTTTTTTCCTAAACCTAACCACGTGCGTTAGTTATTGGAGGACAGATGTCAATTCCCATTGTTGTACTGATGTCGTGTGTTTATTTTGAAAGCGACTGTATGTAAACAGTACATTTCCTGTGAAGTGTATTTTGAAAGAAGACAATGCATGTAACAGGCAGAACTTGACACAGCATCCCAGAACATCAACAACCAACGCACCCAGGGTGCCTTGCATGTCGTATCTGGATGTGGAAGGTCCATGACCAAATGCCAATATGTGCCAAGGTCGGATTGAGAATGTGCTGTCCACATTGGCATCATTTCTCAGCCTCAGAGACTGACACTTGGTATTTCAGCTCACTGACTCCACTGAAAGCGAAGCAACTGCAGAAGCAACATAACTTACAGGAACTATTGAAAACTTATCTAAAATATGATATAAATTCATGTCTCATTACGTTTGTAGTGAAAGACATTTGCAAGACCTTTCTTTGTTCTGTAGCGCATAGGTAGAGGTTGTCATGAAACTAGACAACTTAAGGCATATATATGTGCCATGACCAACCATGTCATGCTAAGGGAACTAAAATAAAACCAAAGTATATCAGAGTACAATTCCTCTACTCTCATACTGACATAGTTTCCAACTAGTCAATATATTTCAATAGCATAATCGAATCCCTTAAATTCAGTTACAGCTTTCAGTTTTGTCGTGCCAACCCAAGATTTCCAGTGGCCCCATGTGGACATCACTGCCACTGCTAACATCTGCAAAAAAATTGTT